ATAGCTTCATGAATGGAATTGATAAGGTTCCAGCAGGTCACTATGATTTGTGCAAAGAAAAGTAAGACTTTGAGACAGTGTAAGGTGCTCAACAAATGGGATCAAAAGCGAGGCATGGGAGAAAAAAATACATACATACGTACATACATACATACATACATACATACATACATACATACATACATACATACAGTAAGGTGCTCAACAAATGGGATCAAAAGCAAGGCATGGGAGAAGAAAAAAAACATACATACATACAGTACTAAATGCTCCAAAATCGTTGAAGAGTCAAAATCTGGGCTGAGGTCCTTGAATTCATAAGCCTAATAAGAAGTCACCCTTATCTTTGGATGGTTCTTATTGCCTGAAACATGCCATTGTGGCTGAGGAATCCTTACATGTGCAGTCCAAAAGACAATGTAATTTTGAAAGGTATGGGATTATTTAGGAGACCATGTCCATGTTTGAACCTTTTGCTTATGCAAACATTGAGCACTAGAGGGTCACAAGCTAATTTTAGTTAAAATGCGGATTTGAATCCAACTGTACCCTTTCTATGTCTGGCTCTTGACTCAGCAGAGATTGTTGTCAACTAGGAGTATAGGGTAGGTTTTTTTTTTGTATATGTGTGTATGGTTTCCACCTTCCTGCTATAACCTCCTGAATCCCCCTAAATCTTTTCCAGAGGACTGGGTGAATCTCTTCATACAACAGGATGATCAGAGATGCAGAAGGAATAATTAAACTGAATATCAAACTAACAGGAGAAAACACACAGCAGTCTTTATCCTATGAATGAGAGGTATGCTTCCAAAATAGTCCATTATTTTTGAAATGGCATTCCTTGATTTCTTATAGCCTTTTGAAAAAAATCTGTCATATTATATTTATCTAAAAATTATCCTGGTGGGGCGTAGGGCTTGGATATCTATAGTTCAGTCCCACCTTTTACAAAAGGAGAGGAAAGGAAAAGATGATTTTATCTAGTCTCAGTGATAACGTCTACATTTCTCTTCTGACTTTCATGAAAGAGTTGATCAGTAGGGTATTATGCCCTTCAGCGGCTGCTTCACTGACATTGGAAAAGGTCTCACTTGTTCAAGGTGGAATTGCCTTATTCTAAATCCAGCTTGCCTCCTCTATTTTTTCTATGACATGAAACATTTGCTTCATAAATATCTATAAGAAGCTTAGAATAAGCCCTCTCCTGTGCAACATACCCCTCACTATTACAACCTTCTAGGTAAACGATCTGCAGTATCAGCCACTGGTTGGGCAACAGTGCTCGAATGAAATTGGTATTTAATAATTGAATGCAGAGTTAAAAGCAGTTGGAATCCTTCCCAGACCTCCATAAAGAAATTAGGGCTCTGCATTTATCCTCACACAGGGATAGATGTGCTTCTCCCTAAATTCTGTGGCACAACGAGGCAAATAAGAAATCACTAGTGGAATGGGTACTATCCTTGCATGAGGATCTCAACACATCTTAAAGCATCATTAAGCAAACGATTCAAATGTCACCCTATCAAGGAACTATACCAGCCCTATAGAAATTCAGTATCTCATCTTAAGTAATTACAGGAACTGGCAACAAACACTAGCTACTTTGACTAAAATTAGAATCAGAGAAGAGATGACAGATCCAGTGCAATGCTGTGCGCATCAAGAAATATGCCCCATGACATCAATATGGTCTGATTCTAAATGGACATAAATAGGATTACTTAGTCTGTATAAAATCTCTGGCACACTTACTAGGCAGTAAGCACTGGGCACACTAGGAATTACATCTGGGTAAATATAGACAGAAATGCAGTGACAGTTAACAGTATCCTTATTGTCTGATTAAGACAGGGTTGGTCCTTCCATTAGGTAAAGGTTCCCCTTGACAATTTTTTGTCCAGTCGTGTTCGACTCTAGGGGGCGGTGCTCATCCCCGTTTCCAAGACATAGAGCCAGCGTTTTGTCCGAAGACAATCTTCCGTGGTCACATGGTCAGTGCGACTTAGACACGGAATGCTGTTACCTTCCCACCGAGGTGGTCCCTATTGATCTACTCGCATTTGCATGCTTTCAAACCACTAGGTTGGCGGGAGCTGGGACAAGCGACAGGCACTCACTCTGTCACGTGGATTCGATCTTACGACTGCTTGGTCTTCTGACCCTGCAGCACAGGCTTCTGCGGTTTAGCCCGCAGCGCCACCACATCCTTCCATTAGTCAGGGTAAATCTTCAGCCTCAGGTGCCAAAGCACAGAAAATGGCCAAACTGTGATTCTTCACCTTCCAGGGGGGGTCCACCACAACGGCCAGTACTCTACACAGTTCTGCTGCTACCACAAGTAGTACCACAGGGATTTATTTCCAGCAGGTAACTTTATTAGTCTGTTGCAGCATAGCCAACATAAAGTCTTAAAAGCTGGACAGGTTTTTTGCTTGGCATACATTTTCATGCCCTTCAGGTGAACGGAGTGAAGTCTCAGCAAGCTGACACTTAAGAACTCAGAGGAAGTGGGGGATGTGCAATGTAACAGAAATACCACCGGTCCAGCATGTTGATGGTCTTAACAATACAGTAATTCTTATTGCTTAGGTCAGGGGTCAGGGAACTTTTTTACTTTTTACCCCCCCCAAAAAAAATTGTATATGTTGACATTACCCCCCTTGGCTTTTGCCGTACACAGCCGATCCCCGCCCTGCCTCTGCGCTCACCCAGGACCTGTGGCCATCGTCCAGGCAGCCAGTCTGGAGCCACCACACCACTGGGAAAGTGCATCCTTGGTGAGGGGAGGTGGGTGCTGCAGGGCTGACAGGTCCACTGACCATGAGCTCAGGTGAGGTGGGGTGGGAAGGGGGCCTCCTCACAAGAGCACCAGGCAGGTGGGCACAGGCAGGAAGGAGAGCCCTAGCCAGGGCTCTGCCGGGCAAAGAGTCCACCTGGCCTGGTACACCGCCCTCCCCCCCCACTTTGGAGGTGAGGAGGGCAGTTGGGTGCCCTGTGCAGTTCCTCGCCAGGACTCACTCTCCCCATGACGAAACGCCGGCCTACACACAGCATTGTCAGAAATAAAATGCCTGGGGGTGAAATGCCTGCCGTGACCATCCTCATTACTCCCAGGATTTTCATTTTTACCCCATTTGGGGTAATTTACCCCTGTTCCCTGAACACTGACTTAGGTGTTATCCAGCTTGCCTAACAGCATTCCGTGTCTAGCTGCGCTGGCCACGTGACCACGGAAACTGCCTTTAGACAAGCGCTGGCTCTATGGCTTGGAAATGGGGATGAGCACCGCGCCCTAGAGTTGGACACAAGTGGACTAAATGTCAAGGGGAACCTTTACCTAGGTGTTATCCACCAATGATCTCTGAACAACCCTTAAGAACCACCATTAAACGACATACTTAGCACCTGCCAAGAACTGTTAAACAACCTTTAAAGACCACTGTTCGCACCATCACCATGCTTTGCCCTTTTCACTGCAGTGTCATGTTGTGCTGCATTTGCCACAGCACAAAAACAAGGAAAATGCTCCAAACAGTGACCACCCACTCCGTGCTGCATTTGCCACAGCACAAAAACAAGTGAAAATGCTCCAAACAGTGACTCAAGGAGACCTTTCAGAACAAGTTATTGGATGAATCACTAGTTTAAAAAAGAGGCTGGAGCAGCACTCCAAAGAGCATACCAGTGTGATACAGATGGATAGCAGCTACAGAGGAGTGTGTCTGAATACACAATGGCAGCAGCATGTGCGGGTTATAGTCCTTGTACTCCCACCTCAGGTAGCAGGCCATCTTGTACCATCACTTCATTTAGAACTCAGATTCCACTCTATTTTTGCTAATTATGGGCATTCACAAAGTACCTTCACCTCCTAGATTCAAATGCCTCTGTCTGAATTTCCACAAAGGTATTCATTCAGACACATATCCCTGGCCTATTCATTCCACATTTGAAATGTCTACAGTATGAGAACTTATCCATTCTTTCCCCAGTTGACAATCTACCAGTGTTATTAATTTCCTAAGCAAACAAGGAGATGGCCTTTGTCCTATGCGTCTCCAGCGTGATGGTAGATCTCCTGCTCTGCTCCCCTGTAGTCTCATTTTGGAATGCTCTGTTCACCACAACTTTGAAAAGTTACTTCTCTGGAACAGAAGTCTTACATTTGTTATGCTGGTTACAGGATTCTGAGAGCAGTGATGCAAAGAATACCTATTTATTTTATTTATTTATTCAATTTGTATCCCGCTCCCATTAATGCCAATGCACTACTCTGGGTGGTTGCAACACATATGATAGATAACAAAAATAGTTTTGTTTCCCACTAAATAGAGTACAGGCCCCAACATGTTTGACAAAACATCTTCTCTATGGACAACAATGTCTAATCTCCTGAGCCAAAATGAATTCCTCGCTAGCACCATCCAAATGAGTGCAACCCTTTGGATGCCTCTGCTATATTTAATTAAACTATCCTGTGCTCCCATCCAAATATTTCATCTGTGCTTTTGGCCTCTATGAACAATGTATCAGAAGCTTCAGAGGTAGTTTTAGACTGGCTGCAGCATGCTGAAAATAATGACCAATACAATCTATTTAATTATGTTTTTGATTTATTCAGACCAGAAACCTATTCGTAATTTAGACTTGTATAAGGTAAATTGTGTTGGCAGCAAATTGTCATTTATTGGTGAGATGCTGGTTGTATTTGCTGACCTACCCAACTGCATGATTAGGAATGCAGCTATTGTGTTAATAATGAGTGGCAGTTTCCCATCAAGATTTTCATGATTTCCATTACACAAGCATAAAACGGCAATACGATTCTGGTCATCCAGTTATTGTTAGTCATACTGAATCCTACCTTTGGCAGCATGTGAGATAAAAACCTGAATAAATGAATGAATGAAGGAAGGAACTAGCCATCACAGACCCTCTGCAACATAAAAAACATCAAAGGAACAGCAAACAATATCAAGATTGTCTCATACTACCTGGGTTTCCCTGAGTCATGGAATCATAGATGAGTTTGCAGGACTTCAGTAGGATGCGAATCTTTTTCTCTGGAGAATAGGCCTTGTGCATGGTTGTGAATTTGTGCAGGATTTTCTCCAGCACTGCAGATTCAGGCACACTAGTTGTGACTCCCAGGTCAGTGGTAGTTGTACTTTGTATGATTTGCTGGTTTTCCTTCAGGAGCTTGAAAGAGCCATCTTTGCTGTGGATTTCCCTTAAGTAGGTATCAATAGCTGTTTTCAGAGGCTTCAAGACACACTTGTGCAAAGCTGCCTCGATAATCACCTCTAGAACAGGGGAAATAACATAAAAGAGAAATATGTGAGAGATCACCCTATGGGACTGGTAGACATGCCCATCTTCAAGCCTAGACCCACATTCACATAACTTAATTACCAGTTTTATCTGTTTAGCCAACCTACCAAAAGTATGGAAATATTTCCTAGATCTAGACTCAGAAAACTAATAACTGTCATAAACATAAAGCAAACTTAAGTACTTGGTGTTTTGTCTTGGACATTTAGAAGCTCTGACCTTGACCATCATAAGCTTCAATACACTGAAAAACCTTGTGTTTTTTTTTCCATTTTGCACTGCGTGTGTGTGTGTGCGTGTGTGTGTTATTAGTAACATTGTACAGTGGTGCCTC